GGGGGGGGGGGGGGGGGGGGGGAATAAGAATCTACCAGGGTGTTCTAACTAGGACGTTTGGTTTGATTCAACGGAACAACAATGAGTGGCATGTTGTCCCGTCTGATACTCCGTTTGGAGCCGGGAATGAGTTAAGGAGTCTAACGACGACGTTAGCTCACCAATGCCAAGAGTGTCCGGTTCCTTGACAAAGCTCGATAGTTCACACTGGCCAGACCTAAGGCGAGGAGATACGAACTTGGCAGTTTACGGGTAGCAGTAGTCGGTGGAGGGACAGTGGAACGCGCTCACAAGCGCAGTTTTCCATTAGGAGCCGTGAGAATACGACGGACGTGGAGCGGACATATTCCGTTAGGGGAGACAAAGCGTGAGTTGGGATAGCCGGGGGCGGGGTGGGGGGAGGTGTAGGTGCGGGGAAGTCTGGGGGTTGACGACGACGAATAGCCGAGACGAGAGCTGGATTCCCGAGTGGCGAGGATGTTGTCGCGTGGTTAGGATTTCCCGATTAAGCAGTTCTAGAAAACAATAGTGAAGTGAACAATACCTATTCATATCGAAAATAAGAAAAATTTGGGAAGTGGCATGAGTGTTGAATAAAAGCGGTCATTTGGTCGTAGATGGTAGTGGTATCGCTTTGTCAAGCCAAAATTCTTAGCGATCCGGGTAGACCGTTTTCTATTGAAGACAAAGTCCAATTTGTCGTCCATGCTGTAGTAGCCCCATAGCGCCTCGCTCTTGAAAGAAATCCGAGAATCGGGAGATAAGGTACGTCTTCAATCGCTCACTGAGGACACGTCCAGCAAGTCTAGATTCAGTCAGCATCTAGAATATAGAAAGAAGCTTGAGGGAGTAGAAATCTGGTAATCACTAACCTGATTCGTGGTGATGGTGGTGTTTATAACAGCATTCTTCTGCCAGTCCACAACTCGTCCACCCGGATTTACCCACTCTCCGACACCACTCGCCGTCATCGCATAGGCTCTCCCCAGCTGGTTCGTCGCGATTTTCGAATAGTCGAGGACGTCTGAAAACACCGGCATGGTGTAGTTGTATTCCGGAATCGGGTTGGAGTATCGCCACCTCACTACTCCCACGCCTCTCTGGGTTTCGTTCCCCGTACCTAACGCCCACATGGTCGTGAAGTTATCCGCCGAATAGGCAGCATACGGATCTTCAGAGAATCCCGGTAGTGAGATATCGAACGCTGTGTGTGGTATTAGCCGGGTTAGTATGCACAGGTGAACGGGTTACTTACAAGCCCAACCGTCCAATGTCGAGTTGAGGCTCCAAAATGCCATCCTCACACAGGGTATCGGATATGATGATCCGTAAGCCAAAAATACAGTATCGAAAATACCGTTGCCGGTATTGCTCCATGTAATCAAGGCCAGTGCGGCTGCTTTGGGGGGCTGTACAGTTGGTATTTTGAATCGTTGCCATCCGCTGTCCGGACCCTTAGACGGACTCCACACCCACGTCGTGTTATCGGGGTCTTGATAGACGAGCAAAATGACATGCTCGTTAGGACAAGCGAATCCTTTGCTGCATGGCTGCCATATGCTGGCAAGTTGGCTGTCGACTGATGCAACGGATCGTTCTTGTCCGATATTCCCGCCGAGCCAGCGGACACCGTCGGTAGTGAAGAGCTCCTGGATCTGTCCGGCTGGGTCCAAGAAAAACAAGCTTATCCGCTTTCAACACGTTAGTTAGCATGCCGCACAACTTTGATGTATTACTCACCCAGTTCAGGGACACTACGGGCAATGTACATGCCGTGAGCGCAGTCCCTGGTTTGGCGACGGTCGAGCTGCTGGTGATGCTGGTGACAACCCATTCTGGGTCGTCTGATCTCCATGCAGCTTGTAGGATATTGTTGGTGGTGTCTTGGAAGTAGACGCGGATGTATTGGACCCGTTCTGAAGGGTTGTCTTCTGGGTATTCCATGTAATCCACGGTCGCAAGTGAGCTGTTACCGATGAGGTTGTTAATTCGTTCCGGTATGAGAGATGTTCTAGGCGATCCAGCCCCTGATGGCGCCGTAGGAATTGCGCCGGCAGATGGAGATGTCGTTTGAGCGTTCAATGCCGCCAACTTCTGGCTTTGTGTGATGCCGAGACCTACGCCCACTGCAATGCCAATTAAAATAATTATTGTTGCGATAAGTATCGCCCGGAAAAGTCCTGGGGCCAGACCACATATCGTTTTTGGTGGTTCCGCCGTAGAGGTGGGTGTGAGCGGCCAGTCGCTCCCATGGCCGGATTCCTTATGTACGACGACCTCCGGGAAGTTCTCATGATCTACAACTTCCATCGTAGAATGGGGATGCAGCTCCGGAGCAGAGCCTCCGGCGCTTAAATGCTTTGAAGCCATCGTGATGACCTTGCCGTTTCGTTGGCAAATGATGTGGTGAAAAAGGCATTCAGAAACGGATCGCAACTCAGCACGCAAGGACAGCCCAAGTGTTGCGACAAACTTAGAAAGGGTTGAAAAGGTTCCTAGCCGCCACAAAACATATCTGTCTCCTCTTTGCACCTGGCGCCACTTAATGTACTTACAGGCACGATACGAAACCTCAGATTGGACTGGCACCGATCACGCGGGTACCCCGTGCCCTGTCGATGTCACCAGGTGGTGGTGGTTAGTTGCATAGAATATATACGGGGTGAAGTTGGGAGTGGTTAAGACGTGATGGGACACCAATAGTGGATGACCTGAAGCCTGAAGGACTCCTATACATCTTGGCAAGCCTCCTACTATCAAACCTTGCTATTCTTCTCCAAGCCGGGAGGGAAGGGCTGAAGTTTATGCCAGTGACCAGTACGGACAACTAAAGAGCGTTGTCTAGTTCACTCTGATAACAAATGCCATGGACTGAAGTAGTTGCGAGAAGGAGAAGATATAGTTCGAAACTTAAGATATAGACTTGTCGAGAGTATATTGTATTCAACGAGACATAAGAATGAGAAGTCGACTCTTACGCAATTATCATTAAAGCATAAATCGACAGTAACAAGAAACTCAATTTCATGGAATCCCAATCAGAAGCCAATGCCTGTGGGTATAGAAAGACAGATTCAGAGAACCATTAGGGAAGCGTAGAGCCCCCCGTCTTGTTGCGTTGTGAATATATGATATGCATTTCCATTTCGGGTATATTCCCTGTAGGGTTTCGCTCACTATAACTGGCGGATCCTGGAACTGCTTCGATTGAGACTTGTCTCTGGCATTCACGATGTTCCTTAGTCAAGGGTTCATAATTGCCATGGGTGAAAAGGTGCAGAGTCGGTATGAAGGTGAACTGCAAGGTTGCCTCCCTCGGAACTGAGTACGGTACAGGTATGCGAGACTGGTCGCCGGACCGCCCTGTCCACGAACTGTTTTGTTGGGTACATAGATCCAACCAGGTAACGTTGACAAACGCCGATTCGCCGAACTTAAATGTAAATCTGAAACAGGCCCGCGCAGATATAAGGTAGGGAGACGGGGCTATGCCTACGCATTGGGTTCACGAGATATTCCTCAAATCCTGCCAACCCATCTGACCTCAATACCAGAGGAAAGGTTTCGTCCCCTTCAGCGGTCGGTATAACACTGACAAACGTCTATAATTGGTGGAACAAAGGCCGTGTTGAGGTTACCCGCCTGGAGTCCATTGGATCCCGATGAGTGTTCCCAGAGGGTGTATCATTAAGAAGAGCAACAAATTGACAGATTCAAAGGTCTGTCAAATCTTACTTGTAGGATATGATGGTCAAGGCAATAAACTTTGTGTTGCACATTGACGATTGATCAAAGAAATGAGGAGGCTGGAGATGTGATTGTTTGATATTCATCAGGCAGCAAATGTTAATGCCTCAGGCATTAATTCGGCTCCTTGACTCAACTTTCGCTGATTTGCCGTGGCTTCGCTCCTTTCCACTGAAGAGCTCACGCACCATGCTCTCAAAGGTGATATGGATGGGCCGTCGATATATGCTCCTATTCCTCACAAGAGACATTGGACATAGTTACCAGGCCAGGAACCCGAGATGTGACTTGGATCGGCTCCGCATCATGATCTGCAGTAAGCGAACCAGTGGAGAAAGCTTGACCGAGGTCGGTATCCCGCAGGCCGCAAGCTTCGATGAAACGGTAACCCTTCAATTCTCCAGCGTTTAGAGGAACAATTCTTGATGCTTAACTTTCTTATTTCCAAGTCATATCCGAGTTCATCTACCAAGTCATATCGACGATAAGTCGGATTTTATTTCCTTTTTGTCAGTTTCATGCCAATAGACCACCATAGATCTTGTTCTTGCCCAGATATTATACCCGACTACCGGGTTAGACCAGTTCACGCATCCATTAAATCCAGATATGGCTCTTTCTAAAACCAACGCCATTCCGCTATGGAAGCCTTCCAACCCGGAAATCGCCCCAATCGACATCTACCGCCGCCGCGTTAACGAGAAGTTTGGACTGCGCCTCCAAAACGCCCAGGAACTGCACAAATGGAGCGTCACCGCCCCTCAAGATTTCTGGACCGATGTTTACGATTTCGTCGGACTGATTCCGGCGCTTCCCCCGTCCGTCAAGCGGGCGTATGATGACTCGGTGCCGTTGAGCGACGTTCCACTGTGGTTCGAGGGTGCATCGATCAACTTTGCGGAGAATGTCCTGTGTAATCCGGCTGTGGACCCGTCAAAAGTTGCGCTGATCGGTTTAAGAGAGGGTCAGGACCTCGAGGGCGAGCAGCTCACATGGTTCGAATTGCGTGAACGGGTAAGGGTGGTACAAAGTGCTATGCTTCGTAGCGGAATCAAAGAAGGGGATATTGTTGCGGCTATTGTCTCCACTTCTAATTGGGCCGTCATCCTCTTGCTCGCTTCTGCAAGCATTGGGGCTATCTTCTCTTGCATTTCACCTGATCTCGGTGTCGAGGTAAGACTCCCGCTGCAAGACACCGTAAGCACGGTGGTAACAGTGTGTATAGGGATGTATATCAAGATTGCAGCAGATCTCGCCCAAGATTTTGTTTGCGGACAGCGACTCGACATACAAAGGTCGCCGGACGTCGGTGGCTCCCAAGGTCTCACAAATCCTGGAAAATCTATCGTCTCCCCCTGAGACATTCTTGATTCCTATTGCATCCTCCCCGGAACCATTTCCAGCCGTAGAAGAATTTCTCTGGCGATCATCAGCGCTGGATACACTAGAATTCCGACCGCTGTCGTTCAATAGTCCTATGATAATTGTTTATTCAAGGTCAGTCAGAGCAATCATGCTTGAGTTCCTGTCTAACATGCGATAGTGGAACGACCGGAACCCCGAAATGCATCGTCCATCGGCAAGGCATGATTCTGAATCTGAGGAAAACATCGATCCTTCACAACTCGATGAGCCCCCGTGATGTTGTGATGCAGTATTCTTCCACATCATGGGTGGTATTCTACGTGGTGGTCGGGCAACTGGCCACTGGTGCGACATGTATCTGCTACGACGGTTCACCTCTCTGGCCCGACCCGATGATCATGATGCGAATCGTCGAACGCCACAAGTCCGTTTCCCTCCTCCCCTTCCATCACCCACTAACAACCCCAGGGTCACCTACTTCGGCACCTCCCCCCGCTACCTCCTCGAGCTCGAGCAGTCCCAAACTATCCCCCGCAACGCCTACAACCTCTCCCACCTCCGCATGGTCTACAGCACCGGATCCGCCCTCGGCGCCGAGCAGTACCGCTGGTTCTACACTGCCTTCCCCCCCTCCGTCCAGATCTGCAACACCGCCGGCGGCACCGAGATCGCCACGTCCCTCATCGCCGCCGATCCCAGCGGCACCGTGCACCTCGGCGAGATGCAGATGCTCGCGCTAGGCCACGATATCGATATCGTGGACCCGGAGAGCGGCGAGTCGATCGCTCATACGGGCGAGGCGGGCGAGATGGTCATCCGCAAGCCGTTCCCGTCCATGCCGGTGTTCTTCTGGGGCGACAAAGGCAACGTGATCTACCGCGCGAGCTATTTCGAGAAGTTTGGGAAGAGGGTATGGGCGCAGCATGACTGGTTGCAGCGGAACCCGGCGACGGGTGGGTTGACGCTGAGCGGACGGAGGTAAGTGATTCGGGACGACGGATGTCCAGCGCATGCTAATCTTATATAGCGACGGTGTGCTCAACCCATCCGGCATCCGCTTCGGCAGCGGTGAGATCTACGCCATCTCCGAAGGCCCGCTCTTCAACACCACTATCGCCGAAACCCTCTGCGTCGGCCGCCGCCGCCCGCACGACACCGACGAAGAAGTGTTCCTCTTCGTGCGGATGAACACGGGGCACGTCTTTACCCCCGAGCTGGCCACCCGGCTCAAGCAGACGATCCGCGAGGGGTTATCCGCGCGGCACGTGCCAAAGTACGTCGAGGAGGTGGCGCAGATCCCAGTGACGATTAACGGGAAGAAGGTGGAGGGTGCGATCAAGCAGATTATTAGTGGGAAGAGCGTCAAGGCGAGCGCAACGGTGGCGAATCCGGAGTCGTTCGAGCTGTATAAGCGGTTTGTGGGGCTGGAGGTGATGAGGCCGTCGAAATTGTAGGGGATGGGGTGGAATAGGAAATCGGTCAATTAGTGGCTGAATATGTCTTGTTTAAACTTAGAAGGCCCGCCATAAAACTAGATAGAGGCAAGTCCAGCATCATAGAGGCTAACTAGCTTCCGTAGCTATGCTAGACTCTCGAAACAACATACCCCTCGGCGACGTGTTATAGAAACTGTGAACATCCCTTCAGAATCCGCAGCAACAAGAAAACCTCAGCTCGATCAACTCGACCGGCCAGAATCTATCCCTCTCCGATCCCAGAGCCACAACCAGGACCATCCACACCTAATCACCATTCACCAAAGCAACCATTCATTAACCTCTTGATTTCATCCGCCCCCCTAACACAAGCTACCTACCATATAATCCCAAACACCAACCAGTCCATCAAGTAACCAGTCCCTCAAGCAACCAGCTCCCTACCCAAAACGACGGGAACCACCTCCGTCCGTGAACAGTCACATCCGTAAACAGGAAGAGTCGTCAATCAGCTAACGCATCGTGCACCACCGGGAGAAGAAAATGGTATATACAAAAGTTGAAGTATCCATGCGTCTGCGTCGATCGACCTCGGTCGGGGAGACCGGATGATCCAGACAATCCATACAAGCCTCCCCTCCGATTTCCAAGAACCAAACGTGCAATCCATCCGAACCCTCATCTCATCTCATCTGATTTCCTCCTCCCCATCCAACACCCCATCACTACCACCCAGTATCTCATCAATCATCCTCCACCCCTACCCCTCCGCCCCCAAATCATCCATCAAATCCATCCCAATCCCACTATCGTCCATGTCCGCCCCGCCAACCTTCCCCAGATCATGAATCTTCGGCGGCCGGAACGCATCCTGCGGCGGCGCTGCGGAGGTGTTGGGGAGGAAGGCGTCAGGGCCGGGCGCGGGGCGACGCGGGGAGGCGCGGTGTGGGAGGTGAGTGTCGGTGGTGGGGGGGCCGCTGGTGGTGGTGTGGCCTGCGGGGAGGGGGGTTAGGGGGTGGTTCTTGCTGTGTGTGGGTGGTTGGGACATACCGTTGACGCTTTCGAAGGACCCCCGCTCGGGCTTGACGGCTGACGCTTTCTCGGAGCCGATCTCGGCGCTCATCCCATCGGTCATACTGCTTAGTCCGCTGCCGCTCCCCGATGCGGCGCTGGTGGCGCGCATGATGCCTTCGGCGGGCAGCTGTGGGGAAGCGGAGAGGGACTCCGGCGCCTCAATGCGGTGACCGAGGAACCCGCCGAGAGAGGCGAGCCAAAGGCTCATCTCGTCGACGAAGACCTTGGTGATCCACCAGGCGTTGTAGCTGGAGCCCTGGCGGATGGTGATCTCGCGGAGGGCGGCAGTGAGGAGGGTGGAGATGCATTGGAGTAGGGTGCGGGTGGGGGCAGTGGGAAAGCGGGCGGGGAGCTTGGAGAGGAAGGTGGCGATGCGGTCGACGGGGGTGTCTTCCTGGAGGCGGTGGATGGAGGGCCAGTGGCTGGCGTGGAGGGCGTCCTCGTAGCAGGTGCCTTCTTCGAGGAAGGGAGGGACGTTGGTGGGCATGAGCATGGATCGAATATCGTGGGTCATGATCTCGTAGACGGCGTCGTAGCCGCAGCCGGGGAGCTCGCTTTCCATGATGCGTTTCGGGTTGACGTATTGGACCCAGTCGATCCACATTTGGTCGCGGAAGGGGTCTTCGTTGAGGAGGGCGGCGGCGGCGTGGGCGGTGCTGTTAACGCGGAGGAGGCGGTGGAGGAGGCCGGCGAAGACGGTGGCGGGTTCGAGTTTGGCCTCGAGGACGTGGGCGGGGTGGCCGGCGAAGGTCTTGGTGATATGGGCGTGGAGGTTCTGGGACACGCGCTCGAGGAACTTGATGACGATGGGAGGGGCGACTTGAAGGGTGAGGGCGCTGACGAAGCGGATCATCTTCTGGTACATCAACCAGTCGCATTCTCGTATCCACGGTGCCACCGTCGGGTTGGTGAATAGTCGTTGGACGGGAACTGTGAGCGTTCCTTGGAATGTGCTGAATAGCCGGAAGAATTGCTTTTCTTTGCAGAAGCGAACGCAATCCACCAGGGAAGTGCAGTGTGTTCGATACAGAGCGACCAGTGCCTCTGCAGCATCAATGTCTGTTTTAGGTGGTGCGTACATATGGATATTTGGTAATGAGATCGTATCATTCTCAGCATCCGCCAGCTGGCTGAAATCTTCCAGGGGAAATTGGAGGGTGTGGGCATAACTGCTCGACAATGATCCATGGTTGCCAGCAAGACCAGGAGAGAAAGGGTCGGTGAACAGTCGGCCTTGTGAGGGAGGATTCGCGATGGCGTGATGGGTAGGGGATTGAAGCGGTCGGTCTTGACTAGGGAATCTGGCCGTTTCGGCTTGCAGCCGTGGCATTGAGTTGAAGTCGATCGTGTGACTGACCGATGGTCCTCGCATTCGTCCATTGCTTGCGATGCTGCCGGAACGTTCCATAGAGTGCGGGATCTCGTCTCTCAGGACCAAATCAACGTAATGATATTTCGACTCTCCTCGGACTCCTAGTCTTCGTGTTTGGATTCCGGGGAAGATGACACGAACGAGCTTGCCGAACGACGCTGGGTTGAGAGGGATTACTCGTTCCGTCGCGCAACTTTCGGCATATGCGGTATACACTCTGCTTCGGGGTGTTGATCGTTTCGCAACAGCGCACGCGCTTTTCAACCTTCATATTGTTAGTCTTGATTCATGGATATTGTCAAAGGTCCTCCATACCATAGCATTGCAAAGAGTTGCTTCGACTTTTCTGCTCGTGGAGTTCTTTCCGTGTTGATGACTTCTGTAGCAACATCTTTCAAGGATCGCTCATTGTTCCTTGACAGCATTTCACGGAGCTCTTTATCATTTGTCGCGCTCGACGAATTGCCCTTCCTCTTCTTCTCCTCCGGTTCTACAACCGAAGGAGGCATCACGGCATGGAAGTTATTCCCCATATCCATGCCATGCTGGGGTTGATGCGAACCGAACTCATTGCCGTTCATCGACTGCCCCAAATCGTTCATCCCAGACTGGAATTGCCCTGGCATTGAGAAGCCACGCGTGGGGCTGAATTGGATGTTTTCATCCTGCATCCCGGGCTGGAACCCATGCTCCTGCTGCATTTGCCGTTGGTCCATCTCCATTAACTGCGTCATGTTATGGAGCAGCTCGAACGATTCGGTGTTGGGGGGGTTGGGGTAGGAATTTTGCGGCGGATGGAGGTCGAAGCCCGCCTGATGATTGTCGGGAGGAATACTCGCAGTCGATGCGCGCGATGGGGGGATGGGAGCGGTATGGGTTGAGGCGGAGGCGACGGAGCGTGAGCGCCGCAGTTCGTTGGGCATCGCTCGTGGAGGGAATATGAGGCTATTGATGTGTGGATAATGGGATACTGGCTCGCCGGATGAGCCGGACTCGATCTCGCCAGACAATTTCCTCGAGGGACGGAGCCAAAAGCCTCAATGATGCAGATTCTTGAAGCTCCTTGTTAAATTCCAGAGGGTCGAGTTAGATTCGTATGCGCATCTCGAATCGGAGTGTTGGATTGGCTTGGCGACGGGTTTGTTGTGGGGTGAAAACAACAGCGAAATGCGAGCACCAGCGACAATGCAGGATAGCCGCAGACTTGCCGCGAATAAATAATCGACCGACAAGCGCGATAAGATTCCGAATTGGATTGAGTCGTCGCACGCAGCAATTGGCAAAGTTTGGATCGGATCCAGACGGTTGACAAAGCTTTGGGGGTTGTTTGTGTCGGTAGCGGCGCGTGGCAGCAGGAATCCACGGAGTCAGGAGGATATTCAGGGAGCAGGATTGCTCAGAGACAATAATGAAGATAATATGCGACGAGATGCGCACGAAGTGGAGGTAAACGTTGTGGTCGTCGCGACGAAGTGTTGATATCTTCCTCTCGTCTCAATATTGTGGAGTTTCCGATGGGCGAAATGAGAGAGACGATGCAAAACAGCGAATAAACATTGTTGGCAGGAGCGACGGCTGGGGGGTGTGCACGTGATGTGCGTGGTTTCCTTCTCCAGCCACACCGGACAAGTGACAACACCACTATTTCACGTGACCTCAGCCACATTCCAATTTTCTGCCACTCTCTAATTAGTCGCCGCACTCTGTAAGTCTGTAGGCACTAGGCAGTAGGCCTGGAATGACATAAGCGACTGCCTTCACGTGACCCGGGATTTCATGTGCGATTGCCCAACGAAATTGCGGAATTTGTCTTGGGAAGGACTCCGAGAGTTAAGGGCAAGTGAGCAACGTCGTCTTTCCATCCACACGACACTCTCAACAACGTCATCGCCCATCAGCTTGTTATATCGTCAAACAACCACCGCTACTTCATCCACCACAAATCTCTCCTCGTACAATCCGTTCTGCTGTAGCTTGCTACCACTAGTACCATTCATACTTCCATCCACGTCTCCATCGTCCTTCTCCCACCATGTCGTTCCAAGATCGAACCCAGCAATCCATCTCACAGCTGGATAAAGAGGTATGTATATCCCTCCGTTCAGTCATTTTCCTGCTCGGTCCACCACGGCTTCGACCGCTGGAACCTCGCACAATATATCGGTGTTATATGAAACCACCGCTCCTGCATCTCCTCCGTATACCGACGCCGTACTGACCGCCTCCCCCCAGCTGTCCAAATACCCGTTCCTCAACAATTTCGAGCAACAGACCAGCGTCCCCAAGGTCTACGTCGTCCTCGGCCTGGGCGCCCTGTACTTCTTCCTTGTCTTCTTCAACATCGCCGGCGAGTTCCTCGTGAACACCGCCGGTTTTATCATTCCGGCGTACTATTCGCTAGAGGCGCTGTTCAGCGCCCAGAAGGCCGATGACACCCAGGTACGTCTCAATCATGTTCGTTGGGATGGTTGACCACAACCGATGGAACCCACATACGATTTCTAAGCAGCCTCGCTAACTGATGAATAGTGGTTGACGGTACGTACTTTCCCCGCATCAAAATCTATATGATAGATAAGGCGTCGAGATTGCTCGTGGCACGTGACTGACTTTGGATTTTGCGAGCAGTACTGGGTGGTTTATGCGCTCTTCTCGTGAGTAGTCTCTAGACAAACCATTCCGTGAAAATAGAAACTAACAATTGACAGCGTGTTCGAGAGCGCCGTCAGCGCCGTCTACTGGTTCCGTAAGTCGTCTATCACCTCCCGTCCACCACCTTTGCTAACATACGTCAGCATTCTACTACACCTTCAAGTTCGTCCTCATCCTCTGGATGGCGCTCCCCCAGACCAAGTACGTCCACCCCTGTCCGTCAAACGATCCCTTCTAACCATCCCCAGCGGCGCCAATATCGTCTTCAACTCGGTCGTCCAGCCCATCTTCGCCCGCCACTTCGTCCAGGGCTCCACCGCTCCCGACCTCAAGGCGACCGCCGGCAAGACCCTGTAAATCGTAGCGCTATGAGCAGCCACGCGACGTGGACATGACGATGCGGGAACGAGGACGAACGACAATCCACACGTCATGAGCATCCGACAGCGATCAACCAATTCGACGACGCTCCGCTGCTGGAACGGGATGAAACGAACGAGTGTGAACGAGCATAGGCGAAGCGAATCGCCGATATTGAGTTTTTGTAGCAGGGATGGGTTCGGGAGCCTGTGGGGTACATCGATGCCTGTTTTGTTTTGTATTCTTGCGGTGGTGGAGTTTCCATAGAGGTTTACGGTTTTTGAGAATTCCAGTCGGTATCACTTCCTATCACGCAGTTCTGTAGTGTTTCCCCCCGCCCGGTATTCCTACATACAAGCTCGAAAGAATCCTTCATCTACCGCCTCGTTGTGCCGCCAAATCCCGTGCTCTCATACCGTGCCGACGACACCCCTCTGCTCGACCGTGAGCTCCCTTCCCCTCGATCATATCCTCCCCAACCCGTATTTGACGCTTCACCATACCCATACCCTCGACTTCCCCTCCCCTCCCGATTCCGCCCCATGAAATACCCCGCCGCCGCACCCCCCATCGCCCCAGACCAGAACCCTGGCGCCCATCCTCCTCCACCGCCGCCCACCGACCCCGTACCCGACGTCCGTGGTTTCCGCCTCGGCTGCCAATCGTACGGCGGCGGCGGATCGTCTGAATCATTACCCCACCACCCTCCTCCACCACCCCCTCCCCCTCCGCCACCTCCACCGCCTCCACCACCTCCAGCCCTCTCCCTACCCGTACAAATGCCCCAAACAATCCACCCCGCCACCACGACAAACAGCACCCAAAACCCGGCCATAACAAACCAGTCCACCCACCCCTCATAACCCCCCCGTCCCTCCCCTATCTTCCCAAACCGCCTCTCCCCCATCTCCGTCAACCCCAACCGATACCCCACCCCACAACTCCCCCCGACCACCCACTCCTCCCCCTCCCCGTCCTCATCCCACGCCTCACAACTCACCTCCGTTCCGCCCAGCCGAAACTCGGGGGGTAACTCGGCTTTACAACTCCACTGTACATCTGCTTTTCCGTATGCCGAGCCGATGTTTTCGCAGACCATGGTGGAGACGGTGAAGAGGGCGCAGAGGGAGGGAGGGGAGCAGTGGAGTTGGGGGATGGGAGGGCGGTTGAGGGAGGTGGTGAGACGGTTGGAGTCGAGGGTGAGGGTGTGAATAGAGGGGAGGTGGATTTTTTTGGGAGAGGGTTTGGATTTGGGTTTGGATTTGAATTTGGCGGTGATGAGTAGGGGGAGGAGGAGGAGGGGAAAGAGGGAGGTGAAGAAGCGCATTGGGGATGTTGCGGTTCCGTAAGTATTTTATGTATATTCTGGTGGTTGATGTTATAGTGGAGCGTGTGCAGTGCAGTGTTGTCGTCGAAGTGGATATATATTGACGATGATCGTAAGCTGAGGAATGTTCCTCTTGGATTGACAGTGAGAGCTGCTATGGAGGGATATGTATATCCGAAAATACCATGGTGTGCGTAATCACCTCTTATAAATTGAAAAAGACACCGTGGTCTTGTTCACTTACTGGTTGTTAAGAAGTATCTTTGTTGCCTTGTGGACTGCGGGTGGCGTGAATGATGATGTCAGGGTAGAGTACCGATAAATTATAAAACTCCATCTCCCCCAACCACCGGGATGTTACATTTACCTTACCTAGTTCGGTGAGTTAGGAGTTATATATCGGACTCTCTCCTCTATATTCGACATGGTAGTCTCTTACTATTTCTGGTTTTGCGCGTCTCTTCCCTTACTCGGACTTCTCCATCTTCGTTCTTTCCTCTAAACTCTCCCCATCTACAACTTTTCGAAAGAATTACAAAACCTCCTCTCCGTTCGCATCCGCCCCCCTCTTTCGCCTCCTTCGCCCTCCTCGCCTTTCCTTGCGCCTTTTTCAACAGGTTCCTGTCACCCAATCGCTCCCCCCATCTCGCTCGCGCATGACCGACACGACTCCGCTCCCACCTGCGACTAGCCTCTGCCCCAGGAGAAGGGACAGAAGGGGCGGCTGCGGCGACCTCGAGGCATCCGAAGACCGGATGAACGTGTTATAAGCATCGCGTGCCAAATCAAGCCGGCTTAGAAAGTAAGAGGGGTAACTATAGAGGATGAACAGGGCGGCAGGGTTACCGGCCGTGGCCTTCGCGCTAGACGGCAAGATGCTGGCGTCGGCATCGGGGGACAAGGCGGTCAAGCTGTGGGACGCCGGGTTGGGCGCGCTGCAGCAGACGCTCGAAGGCCATTCGGGCCCGGTCGAGGCCGTGGCCTTCGCGCCGGATGGCAAGACGTTTGCGCTGCGCTTGGGCGGAAGCCAATTTCGCTAGCGACGGCCCCCAACAGAGGAATAGGGCGTACCTACTAACGCAGCTCAGAACAGGGCACTCGTAGCTTGCATCTCATGCCAAAATCCTCGGCTTTCGAGATGATGACCGATGCGAATGCGGAGCAAGAGAGACATTGGTACATTTCCTAGTGGACTGTCCGAATCTCAGAGAGCTCGGACAACAGCTTCAGAAGAAGATAGGAGACGCTTTCAACAATATCACCGGAATGCTTGGAGGGAGACCTCAGGACCAAGGAAGAACCAAGGGATGGGCAGTTGACAGCGATGTCCCAGAGGCAGTGCTTGACTCTGCGGAAGCATCGAAGAGGTTCACATCAAGGGCTCCAGGGCGGCCTCAAATCAGGGGTCGCGGACATGGTGACCACCGTAGGCCTTAACAGGCAAAACTTCGTGTATGAAGCGGTAGAGTGTAAATTAGCTTAGGAAGGATAGAACTGAGAGTAGTAGTAGCCTGCATATCCCGTAGGAGAGTCAGGGCAAATGAATCAACAACGACAACAGTAAAGCGAAGCTCCGGAGGGAAATGACCTTGGGGGCTCCCGGTATTGCCCTGCGCTTTTCAGGGTCAAGTTCCCAAAATCTTAAGATATGGAGGTATTCAAAAGTAAAATGGAGATGCAGTCTTTCAGAGGAAATCTACGAAGATTTAATAATATACACCTAGTTAGTCGGGGTTGAGTGACATTGGACTCGCCATGGTCACCATCTAGCATAGACCGAGCAGGCAATACGGACATTTATACAACACCAACCACGGCGCACTGTAATCCTCATATAAATCTACAGCGATCGATTGAGCGGTCTGACACTATCATACATGTACATCCCATTTCCCCATATCATCCACTTACACCTCCCCTTTCCTCCCCTCAAACCTCTCCACCGCCCCCTCAAACAACTCCCTACACCTAACCCGACTCCCCAATCTCGCACACAACAAAAACGCCCCACTCAATTTCCGATGCAGACTATACGTCTCCTCCGGCGGCGGCGCCAACCGCTCCTTCAACATCGTCGGAATCAGCCCCCGCACCCGCTCTGTGATCGTCTGGTCCTGGAAATCGTACACCGCGTCCGCCTGCGCACCGAACGGCTCTGCCAGTGCCAGCACCGAGTCGGCGTGCGCGTCTACCATCGCCGCGCTCTCGGACCCCGTGAGGTAACCAAGCTGTACGGAGAGGGATTGGATGGTGGCGCGGTCGTCGGCGGCGGCGGCGCGGAGGATGCCGACATACGGCCCGATGAATTCTAGCGGATACGCGCGCGTGGCGCCAAAGTCGAGGAGCTCGAGCTTGTGCGTGGCGCGGTTGTAGAGGAAGTTGGTCCAGTTGGGGTCAGTTTGCATGTAGCGGAACTCAGTGATCTCGCGGAGGCAGAGGCGGAGGAGATGGGTGCCAATCCAGTCGCGTTCGTCCTGGGATAAGTCGGGAATTTTTGTGACCGCGGTGCCGTGCATGAGTTCGGCGGTGAGGACTTCTCTTCCGGACGCGGAGGGGAAGACCTGAGGGACGGTGAACGCGTCGTCGTCGGCGAGTAGTTCTCGAAAGCGAGTCCCGCACTCCGCCTCCCGCACGTAGTCGCATTCCCACGCCAGCTCCGTCCGCGCGTTCGCGATGGTCTTCTCGAGATACATCCCGCGCGGCAGCAGGCGCGATGCGGTGAGCAGAAGCGAGAGGTTGTTCAGGTCCGAGTCGATCGATGTCGCTACCCCGGGGTACTGCACCTTCACCGCGACCGTCTCCCCGGTGCGCAGCGTCGCCCGGTGCACCTGGCCGATCGACGCGGCGGCGATGGGCACCTCGTCGAACTCCGCGAACGCGTCGCGCCAGTCGGCGCCGAGGCTGGTGGCGAGCACGCGGTCGCGCTGGCGCGCAGGCATGTAGTCGGCGCTGTCCTGGACGCGCTGCATGACGTCCTGGATGGGGCCGGGGAGGAGCTTGAGGTCTTGGAAGCTGATCATCTGGCCGAGCTTGAGGGCGGCGCCGCGCATGCGGGAGAGCTTGGCGACGAGGCGGGTCATGTTG